GCTCATTTCTGTACCTGCTGAGTTTGAATAGTTTGTTGCTGAATTTAAGCCTGTGCTTAGAGAAACAGGTCTGAGTGTTTTAACGTAGTCGTTGAGCCTTTCGCTGCTGCTGGCACCGTCCTTCTCATGGTATTTACCATCGCTTCCTTCATTAGGAGGTGGCATGCAGGGGACTTTTATTAACCACCAAACTGTGTGGAAATTATTCACCATGTGAGTTTACCTTTCAGTTTTTAAAAACAAACTGCATTTACAATAAGCAGCCCTTCACAGTTCTGAGATATTTCTCACTAATGCGATTTTTGAGTCCGGTGCTTTCAGCCAAGCAACACATCTGACCACAACATCCTGCTTGTCAACTTTGTGGTTTTAGTTTAGAAATGTTTCGTCACCCAAAGCTCTGCCTCCTTGACAGCTCTGTCATCATCAGAGCCGGACCAGCAGAAGAGGATGTTCCGACTGGCAGCCTTCCCACACTTCCTGCTGCTCTGCTCGGGTTAATCTGCAGGTGACTGAACATGAGGTCGGGATGCATGGGGCGAGAACGGGATGCATTGGGACAAAGCCATGCTGGATGCTGGGTCTGCAGACAGGAGCAGAACAGGCGGCAGGTTACTCAAGCCGGAGAGAGGAACTATGAAGAAAATAGTTTTTTCATTTATCTCTCTGTAGGAAGCAAAAACAGGAAGTGAAATTACTCAGAATTCATTTGTCATTTAAAACCAAAAGTAGAAAAACTACCTGGAACCCAAAGCTGCTTTAACTGGGAGCAAAGTTGAAGTGAATGGTTTTAATCATTGATGGCAGGAGGAGGTTCCTTCGGCAAACCCTTCACTATGGCTGCAGAGCCGTGAGGGTTCCAGTGGGTTCTCCTGTGAACATAGTCAGTTCATGTCATGCCTGGTGGAGGTGAGGGACCCTTTATGCTGTGAAGGCGGCAGAAAGACTCTGCTAAAACAACGGAAAGCTCCACCATCAGTGGCGTTGTACGGGTGGCGGCGGGTCAGCATTGCTCTGTCAGCAGAAACATGAAACATATCAAAGCAGGGAGGATTATGGGAGAACGTGGTTTTAAACAACGAAACCACGTTCTGATGGTTTGTCCTAGATGGCCTGAAAGAACTGAACATACAGAAGATCCGGCTCTCAGATCCGATTCCTTCTGGTGAATCAGGGGAGCTGAAACTTCCCATAACTGGAGTAAAGAATTTAAACCACAGAGATGCGCCCCTTATTGAGGCGACGCACAAGGGCAGGCAGCCGCGGCCACAGCTAACACTGAAGGCCAGGAAACACCTGGGTACACCTGGTTTTTTTAGCTTTTTATTTTTAGAATATGATCAAATGGAAACGAACATAATAGAATAGAACATGATAGAATAGAACAGAACATAATAGAATATAACATGATAGAATAGAACAAAACATGATAGAATAGAACATTATAGAATAGAACAGAACATGATAGAATAGAACATGATAGAATAGAACAGAACATGATAGAATAGAACACAACATGATAGAATAGAATGGAATAGAACATGATAGAAAATAACAAAATAAAATAGAATAGAACATGATAAAATAGAATAGAATAAAATATGATAGACCAAAATAGAACATGATAGAATAGAATAGAAGGTTTTAGAATAGGACAGAACACGATAGAATGGAATGGAATAGAACAGAATAGAACAGAATAAAACATGATAGATTAGAACATGATAGAATAGAACATGAGGAATAGAATGGAATAGAACATGATAGAATAGAATAGAACATGATAGAATAGAACATGATAGAATAGAATAGAACATGGTAGAATAGAATGGAATAGAACATGATAAAATAGAATAGAGCATGATAGAATAGAATAGAACAAAACGTTATAGAACAGAACATGATAGAGTAGAATGGAATAGAACATGATAGAATAGAATAGAACATGATAGAATAGAACATGATAGAATAGAATAGAACATGGTAGAATAGAATGGAATAGAACATGATAGAATAGAATAGAACATGATAGAATAGAATAGAACATGATAGAATAGAAGAGAACATGGTAGAATAGAACATGATAGAATAGAATATTACAAAACGTTATAGAATAGAACAGAACATGATAGAGTAGAATGGAATAGAACATGATAAAATAGAATAGAATAAAACATGATAGAATAGAATAGAACATGATAGAATAGAACATGATAGAATAGAATAGAACATGGTAGAATAGAACATGATAGAATAGAATATTACAAAACGTTATAGAATAGAACAGAACATGATAGAGTAGAATGGAATAGAACATGATAAAATAGAATAGAATAAAACATGATAGAATAGAATAGAACATGATAGAATAGAACATGATAGAATAGAATAGAACATGATAGAATAGAATAGAACATGGTAGAATAGAACATGATAGAATAGAATAGAACATGGTAGAATAGAATGGAATAGAACATGATAGAATAGAACATGATAGAATAGAATAGAATAAAACATGATAGAATAGAATAGAACATGATAGAATAGAACATGATAGAATAGAATAGAACATGATAGAATAGAATAGAACATGATAGAATAGAATAGAACATGATAGAATAGAATAGAACATGATAGAATAGAATAGAACATGATAGAATAGAATAGAACATGATAGAATAGAATAGAACATGATAGAATAGAATAGAACATGATAGAATAGAACATGATAGAATAGAATAGAACATGATAGAATAGAACATGATAGAATAGAATAGAACATGATAGAATAGAATAGAACATGGTAGAATAGAATGGAATAGAACATGATAGAATAGAACATGATAGAATAGAATAGAACATGATAGAATAGAATAGAACATGGTAGAATAGAACATGATAGAATAGAATATTACAAAACGTTATAGAATAGAACAGAACATGATAGAGTAGAATGGAATAGAACATGATAAAATAGAATAGAATAAAACATGATAGAATAGAATAGAACATGATAGAATAGAACATGATAGAATAGAACATGATAGAATAGAATAGAACATGGTAGAATAGAACATGATAGAATAGAATATTACAAAACGTTATAGAATAGAACAGAACATGATAGAGTAGAATGGAATAGAACATGATAAAATAGAATAGAATAAAACATGATAGAATAGAATAGAACATGATAGAATAGAATAGAATAAAACATGATAGAATAGAATAAAACATGATAGAATAGAACATGATAGGATAGAATAGAATAGAATAAAACATGATAGAATGGTGCAGCCATCGCCACAAGAACTGATCATCCGGTTTAAGACGGAGGCAAGATAACAACACAGAGACATGGATTTTTGTTTGGCCTGCATGCGATTATTTCTGTGAATGAGCGGCTGCCATTTACTGATGATTGCACACCGGTGTCAGTTACGGTATCAGTTATTAAAAACGTCAAACAGAGATTTATTCAGTGAATCAGGTGATTAAAAATGTTCATATTGAGTTTGATGGAAGCAGCTAGAATGATGAGCAGCAGGGCTGTTTTCATCATCCATGAGGAAGTGATTCCGTCCTTTTTTCATGACAAGAAGTGAGGAGCTCTCAGTCTGGAAAAAATATTTTTGTTATTCCAAATTATAAATGTTCCTTTTTTTTGCAAAACATAAAACTGACTAAAAATGTGTGGCTTATGCTGTTTGGGCTTCTTTGGTGAAAACATAATTTGCTGTGTAACCATGGTTGCTGTTAGGTCAAAGGAAAGGACGCAGAGGAAAGGATGCAGAGAGGAAAGGATGCAGAAAGGAAAGGATGCAGAAAGGAAAGGATGGAGAGGAATGGACGCACAGGAAACAACACAGAGAGGAAAGGATGCAGAGAGGAAAGGACACAGAGGAAAGGACGCAGAGAAAAGGATGCAGAGGAAAGGAAGTAGAGGGGAGAGGGAGCAGAGAGGAAAGGACACAGAGCAAATGATGCAGAGGAAAGGAAGTAGAGAGAAAAGGACGCAGAAGAAAGGAAGTAGAGAGAAAAGGACGAGAGGAAAGGAAGTAGAGAGGAAAGGACGCAGAGGAAAGGAACTAGAGAGGAAGGGACGCAGAGGAAAGGAAGTAGAGAGAAAAGGACGCAGAGGAAAGGAAGTAGAGAGGAAAGGACGTAGAGGAAAGGATGCAGGGGAAAGGCACTATTCAGTTATAGAGATGATCCCTTCCAGATATCACCACACCCCCCACCCCATCACAGAGGAACAAAGTACCTCCCCGCTCCAACCGGTGAACAATACCTCCTTAACGACCAACCCTACACAATCATAGACAGGTTTCAGATATTACAGGCTAACAATGTAACCAAACGACCCATTCATCAGTTACCATTTGCATGTTACCAAGCAATACAAGGCCTTGTCTATAGAAAGACTCAAACTCACTGCAGATCCAGACATTGGAATTGAAAAAGCTTCCTGGAGGGGAAGCGAAACGTCTTCAAATCTTGGAAACCAAGTCCAGTGGATGGTCTTTGTTGTTTTTTTTTTTTTTTTTACTTTTACGGAAGGTCAAAGGATGCAGAGGGGAAAGGAAGTAAAGGGGAAAGGATGCGGAGGGGAGAGGGAGCAGAGACCGCCTTGACCGGCTGCAGCGGATCATTAAAGATGTTCAGGTTGTTTTTAGTCCATCTGTAGAGTCTGTCCTGCCTGAACAGGAGCGCTGTGCTCCAAAGATGGGAGCGCTTTGACTGCTTAGACCAAGGGATCCTCTCTGGGTTTAAAAATCTCCACAAAGTACCATCAGAGAACGATCCTGCTCTCACTGACAGACACTCTGTTTGCATCAAACAGTTTGAGCCTGTGTGTGTGTGTGGGTGTGTGTGTGGAGGGGGGGGGGGAGACCAATACTCTAACCTTTGCTAAGCTTCACTGGGTTTTTGACACTGAGTCATATCTTTGTTATTTAGTGACATTTTACTATGTTGATATACTTTCTGTTCTGTTTCAGAGTAAGTTTGCCAAAGCTCTGTACGACAACGTGGCAGAGTGTCCAGATGAGCTGGCCTTCAGAAGGGGCGACGTGGTCACGGTGCTGGAGCAAAGCGTGGCCGACACCAGCGGATGGTGGATGTGTTCCCTGCACGGCAGACGGGGTCTGGCCCCTGCAAACCGATTAGAGCTCCTGCTGCAGACCTCCACTGCTGCAGAACGCCTTCGACACGACAGAGACAGTGATGTCAAGGTGCAAAACATCTACCAGATCCCCAGTACACCCCGGCCCATCAGCAGCCCTGCCTATGAACGCATGGACATTGTCTACAAGGTCCCATCTGTGCCTTTGTCAGCTTCCTGCAGTCCGATCATGTCGGCTCTGAGGCAGAGCCCAGATGGAACGGCCATCAACAAGGTATCCATCTTTTCATTTCTGTGTCTGTCAGTGAAAGGCTAAACCTGTTGGTTCCTTTGAAACGGTAAACCCACAGAATGCTGCTGCAGGAAGCTGTGGACTCCTGCTGACCAAAGGCCTCACATGTGGGGACCAGGGGCTCAGTGAAAGGACAGGAACGCAGCACTCAGGCCTTTATGGGCCTTGTAAAACAAACAGACACAGACTTCAGACACTTTTTACTGCAGACAGCAATGCCTGCTCTGCGGGACCCTAGAAATGCACAAGAATGTTCCTTGGTACAGCGTGTTGGGAAGAAAGGCAGCCACATGTTCATGATTTCCTCCTCTGCCCTGAGGTAGCCCTGTTCCCCTTTATAGCAGCCATGCAGAACCTGCTGAGCTGCATGGTTTCCTTAACGAGGGCGAGTTTAGTCTGACAACGGAGGGACATGAGGGCGAAAAAGTGCAGCGATCTAGGAGGAAAAAGGGTCCCAGCGTTCTCGCGCACCACGCTCTTCCAGCTGGTCCAACTTCACAAGTTTTTTCCCTAATTTTGGTCATAACAACAAAACAAGCCGACCTCCTGTCTGCGGTCAGTTACAATTTGGGAGAGGTGCAGCAGAGTGTCTGCGGAGGGAGCAGGGACTCCTTTTTGTTCACTGCGAAACCTATGCAGATGACCTAGTTTCAAAGTATAAATCAGCCTTTTGGCTTCTCCACAGAGGAAACACTGTCCTCATGAATGTGTTGAGGCTGAGGTCAGAGAGGTAGCTGCAGCTTTGTGATTTAACGGTTTGCTCTTATGTCTGCAGCCTTCCTTCTGCATGGCATCCAGCCCAAAACAAGTTTACGATGTTCCGCCCCAGTCAAGAGGAGCTTCCCTCCCTGTTGTAAGCACACTTATTGATCAGCAGGTCTCTCATATTGCCACCTGTGTGGGTCTTCATCAGATATCCTGCTTGTTTTGTGCAGGAATCATCCCCTTCCCTCCAAATGGCAATGCAAAAGCCTACAGCTTCAGTTCCAGAGACGGAGAAAAAATCGGAGACTGCAGAACCATTAAGGGGCAACGATCAAAGAGACTCTTGTGTGAGTTTTGCACATCTTTTATTAATCAAGGAAACAAGGTTTTAAGAACGTTCTGTTTGGTGGCCGAGGGCTGCAAACGTCACATCAATACATGATTTAACAGCAAATTTCAAAGGTCCTGCAAACACAAAAACATGCAAAGAAAAACCGCTGCAAAGGAGAAAAGCTGCAATCACAGATAAATAAAAGCAGCAAAGCTTAGAGCTGCTGCTACCACAAAAAAGACACCAAACACATACAAAGTAAAAAGTTTGGATGTCTCGAACCTTTATTTAATGTGAAATCATGTGTGAAAAGCAGCCGCATCTCGCAGCAGGAAGGTCTGTGGTTAAACTCTCACCACCGGCCTTTCAGTGGGAAGTTAATGGCCTCCTAATGTCCTGATGCAAGCATTGCTGCACTCTTTGTACTCTAACTGTCACGTTATACAGAGAAATAAACATTTTCTGGTTTTCTCTTACACACACACCTCTGATTGTCTGGGTCACAGAAATCTAAAACAAATTTGGGGCGTGCAGGTGGAGCGGTGGTTAGCACGCACGACCCATGTACGGAGGCCTTAGTCCTCGACGCAGCTTACCCGGGTTCGAAAGCATGTGGTCCTTTCCCGCATGTCTCTCCCCCTCTCTCATCCCCCCCTTTCCTGTCAGCTTACTGTCCAAAAAATAAAAAATAAATCAGCCACTAGTGCCTTAAAAACTAAAAAAAAAAAGAAAAGAAATCCAAAACAAATTCAAACACTTCTATTAAAATGTTCCCAGTTCATCCTTTAATTATTTTTCATTTCAATTTGTCTTTTGTTGTGAGCTTCACAAACATGTTACTCTTTGGCTTTCACTTTAACTACAAATGTTACGGTGGAGCAGAGAAGCTACGCATCAGAGGGCGCTGTTTCCTATTAACTGGCACCAAACCCTCTGAAAAGCAGCCACTCATCTCTATTATATTCCAACGGATCTACAGGATCGACTAGCCGAGCTTTTTGACTTATGGTGCGTTCACACCGAACACAAAACCTGCTTTGAACACAATTTTGCTCGCCGGATAATTTGTCTTGCCAGCAAAAGCGATTTGCTCAGCCGGTGAATTTGTGTTGAGTATTTGTTTTGGTAAAATGAGCAATGCGCTGAGGTTAGCAGGTCATACAGTGATGCTCCTACTTTGGGGAGTCCAAGAGTAGCTGGATCAAAACCGTGTTCCCTGGAGTTAAGGTAAGGTCAGGCGGTTTCCTGTAGCTCAGCCAGGCCGTGTTGCCAAATTAGCGTTTCTGCTGCCATTTTTAGCACCTTTTTAGACCTCTCCGCCCCTTTTATTTCAAAATAGCACCTAGCGCCTGGCATGGTTTTTGGGTGTTTGGCCCCATGCAGACACAGACAGGGAACAAGGAGCAGTTAAAGACGTTTATTTAGGCTATACACAAATATGAATAGCTCACAATGTGAGCTGCAGACAAGGTTTGGAACGTCAGGGTTAGGAGCACTGCGGGAGGAAAGAGGAAACTGATCAACACTAAGATAGTAAGGGAGATCTGCGCTGATGCTGCTTCGCTTACCACCAGGTGCAGATAACCTATCCGGGGACGGTGAGTGGAAGAAAGGGTTCTGCAACTCACTGCTTTCCAATGGGAGGAGATGGCTTAGCGACAGGTGAGCTAGCGGATCGAACATAGGCGGGAGCCCGAGCAGCACCACAGCGGAGACAGGTTCGAGGAGCAGCTGAAGGAACCAGAGTGAACCCAGGAAGGGGGTTTCTTGTCCGGCTTGGTAACACAGAGGGGAACAGCAGGGATTCAGTAACCAGTCTTCAGCGCATAGAGACAGACAGTGAGTAATCCAGAGCATAAGAGCTGAGGGAGACAGGTTAGAACTAGGAATCCAAAACATCCAACTCACAGGAACGAAGATCTGTCGACAGGACAGAGGCCTAGGCGTACCACAACGGTCTAACCCCCAGATTCCTCATACTCCGTCAGCGCTCCGCCCCGCTCATGTACGTCGAGCGGAGTAATCGTCTTTCATGTAAAGCAATGAGAGCTGGTCCACATCCACGGCTACTCCTCCGCACGTCACAAACCACGTACGTCTTCTCCGTCCGTCACTGCCAAAATACGGAGGCGAGCTATTTTTGCTCCGGTCCGGCCAGGTCAAGATCCACTATTGCAATCGCACTAAACAGGAAAAAGAACATCGAGAAGAACCGGTTTGTCAAATTAAAATTTAATAAGAACAGATCTGTTACTACAAATAAGAGCATAATTCTTATATATTTCAAAAACTAACGCAGTTTATTTAAAAGATTGGATGCAAACTATTGGTCCTTCAACAGACCAGAAAGCAGATTTCTCATCTCCATCAGAAACATCTGCTGGATGCTGATGGGGAATTTTTAAATATGTCACATTAAATTAAGCGTTCATTTCTGCATGTTTTGCTCCTCCGAATTTAATTATAATAATAACGCAATGCTCTCCCCGGGCTCCGAGGAAGTCGGAGCGTAGCAAGACGGGAGGAACAGCGGAGGCTGTAGGCTTTGCTTTGCAGGAGGTCTGGTGCGCTGCGGGGAGGAACGGAGATGGAAGTTAAGGGGTTTCAGGGTAACACTCTGGCGTCCTTCAGCTGACTGAACGCTCCTCTTAAGCTGCAGCCAGAGCAGCCCCAACGAGCCGCCTGTGGAACAGAATCAGCAGAGCATAGAACCCTGACACTGCCACTTTCTTCTGTATTAATGGAGACTTTAACGACAGCACATAAAAGCACCGAACTCTGTCCTCCTGAGCGAGCAGCTAGTGGATCCGTAAGTTCGCGCTCTGCTGTCATCATGCAGCAGAGATACAGAAGCTAACCTGCTCCACTGATTCGCAGTCCTCTCTCTCTTTCTGCTTGTCTTTTCTCTGCGTGTCTCTGCACTGCGTTCTTCTTCTTTGTAAGGTTTTTTTTTTAGTGGCTGGCAAACAACTGATTGTTCATAATGAAACTAACTGGTATGGACCGTGGAACTAAAGGGCCAGTTATTTATTTTTAAATAAACACTGATTGGTTCATGCTGGCAGGTCAGCTGTAAACTCATCTTTGTTGCAGCATAGCTGATTTAAAATATTAGATAAAGTTCAGCAGCTGCAGCCTCCAAGGTCCACCCTGTCGTTTTTGGTGCCAGTTATTGGGAAACAGCGCCCTCTGCTGTGTAGCTCTGTGTACTATATACAAGACAACATCATCATTGCTCTGCTTCAGCTGAAGTAAAAGAGAAGGAGGAAGTTCTGAAGCTGAATTTGTGACTCATAGCAGCAGATTCAAGCAGTTTGTTAAAAAAAAAAAATATTTAAAAGATAAAGTGGGAGGGTTTCATTTCTGCTTAACTGCCACTGATCTCTTTGAGTGCTTGAATTAGTTTTGCACCGTTTGTTTTAGATCAATTGGAACTTCAGACTGGAAATTGAAAAGTCCGAAAATCCATCTAAAATGACAAAAGTCCAAAGTGACATTAATAGTTTGCAGCAATATTTTTGGATGAGTTGGAGAAAGTAAGATGTTTTTTATTTGGATCTACTCAATACACTGAAGAGGTGTAACTTTTTCAGTCATTGTTAAAGTAGAGAAAACTGCAATTAACAAACCTCTGTTTTCACAGAAGTCACAGAAACACAGCTCCATGCTGCCATCTGTTGGTATTAGACTGAGCTGATCCAGGAAGTTCAGATAGAAATAGAGCTATAGAACTGTTGACTTTGCTGTATTGACCTGATCAGACCCACATGCTGTTTATGCCTGAGTTGTGAAGTTATGGTTTGGATTTGTTTCAGTTAGCAGATATAGTCTGTCTGCTTCTGTCTCCTTGAACCCCAGTGGGCCTCAGCAGATGGCCGCTCACACTGAGCCTGGTTCTGCTGGAGGTTTCTTCCTGTTCAAAGGGAGTTTTTCCTCTCCACTGTCGCTACAAGCATGCTTGGTGTGAGGGATTGCTGAAGAGTCAATGAGTCGAGGCAATCAGCTGGTTTTCCTTAGATAGAAAACTTTGAATCAATCTGACTGGATGATCTGGTTGATTTGGATCTGAGATGACCTGATATGACATGATGTGAATTGGCGCTATAGAAATAAACTGTATTGAACATATTTTTATTTTTTTGAATTAAGAACACCATGAATAACCTAAAGAATAACTTTACTGTAGACGTTATTATTGGTGTTTATTTCTCTTTGTACAATCTTACCTGTTAAATGATGAACTGTATGATTAGAACTGATTTTCTTCCTAAGGTATATGCAGTTCCTCCACCCGTGGCCTCCGACCCAAACTATGACATCCTTCCTCGCTCAGCCACAGAACACCAACGTAAACTCTGCGCTGGATTTAGCACACTTCCTTCTCCCCAGAAGCAGGAGTGGATCTACGATGTCCCAGCCGGGTCAGAGAAGCAAAGCAACATGGAGGGCAACTATGACACCCTGCCAGCCAGAGCTGAATGCAGACACGTCTACGACACTCTTCCAGCTCGGAGATCAAATCCAGATTTCCTGATCTATGATACACCCAATGCCTCCAAACTATTGCCCCCACTTTCAGACAAACACCCAACAGAGAGATTACCGCCGGAGCAGGACCACCTTAGCCAGGTGGTCAGCGATGCTTCAGAAGATCATAAAGACCTGGAGAGAAGGGGCGATCCAAATAAAACTTTGGAGCACAAAAGGGTGCGCCTGCAGCGGATGAGGAACTTTTTGGCTTGTGCATCTTTCCCTGACCTTCCAGGTGGTGGGAAAACTCTGGTGGCTGGAGAAGAGCAGCTCAGGCTTTCTACTGAAGTTAACCAGAGGATCAGCACAGCCTCCAGCTCTTCCACCAGCTCCTGTGACTCTCTGCCCCTGAGCTCATCTTCCCCTGAGCCTCTTCGAGAAGTGACTCTCTGTCAGGAAGACGCCTGCCGAAAACTGCTTGAGCTTCAAGAGTCGGTTTGTGGGGCCGTGCCGCGGCTCATGGACTTTGTAAGCAGCAACTGGAGGAGTAAAACCCACCTGGAGAAGCACCTCCAAGAAATCCAGGTAGCAACAGAGAAGGTGGTGTCCGCTCTCACCTGCTTCCTCAACTTTGCTCTTGATGTGAGGGGTAACTCTCGTCGCCTGACTGACACGAACCTGCAGGTCAGGCTCCACAAGCAGCTCTCCATAGTGGAGGATTCTGTTGTGATCCTCCAACAAACGGCGAGCTCTCTCAACGCAACCGGTTGGGCCCTTGACTCCCTCTGCCAGGACCCGGGCCAGGTCCAGAACCCTGACCAACTGGACCGCTTTGTGATGGTGGCCCGCACCGTGCCTGACGATGTCAGGCGCCTTGTCTCCATCATCTACGGAAACGGTAAGCTTCTGTTTAAAGCTCCGCCACGAGATCAGGAGCCTGTGAGCAGCAGGAGTCCACCACAGACCAAGGAAGGTCTGGATAAACCAGAATCAGAGTCAGGAGAGGACGACAACGACTATGTAGAGCTACAGGTGAAAGACTCAACTTTATCAAAGACGTTACGGACATTATGACACGTCAAGAAAAGCTAAAAGTGTTTTTTCACCTTTCTCATAGAAAAAGACTGAAGAAAGGAGGCCAGAAGAAACGAATAAAGAAGCGAAAGAGAGCGTCTCACCAGTCTGCCAAAAGGTATGCAGCAAAACAATCCTCTGATCATTCAGACTTTATCCTTCATCTTTTCAGACGTGTCTGCCTCCCTCTGTGGTCATTTAGAGACGTTCAGTTCATTTAAAAAACTTCTCTGATTCCCTCTCTCCTTATGGAACCAAAGATGTTGCAGAGTCAGCAGATTGCAGGTGGTTTAGCAGCACAGACTGTTTCTGCAGAGTGAACAATCTATGTTTACAGATCTAGCTCCTTTCTATTTCTAACAGGTTGCTTACATTTTTTTTTTTATTCAATCTATAACATGGATACATAAACACCTGATTTTATTTTATTTATATATTCAATTCTGTTTAAAGTAACAGATCATAATTAAGCTTTACTGCTGATGAATTTCTTTATTCTGACCCCGATTATTTTTAATCTGATCCAGACTATTGACATCATCACTGTAGCTTTGTGTGTTTATAGATTTATGGCCTTTTATTTTCATAACATGGAGCCAGCAGATGAAGGTGGGCCTAAAGTTCTGGAATGTAATGCAATCATCAGCATCATAAACCTCATTTTCTGATGTTATTCTTCAATAATTATTGTGAATCTTTGTCATCTGTAGTAAGATTTAATCTCCCTAAAATATTAATGCATCCACTGGTTTATCATGAGGGACAAGAAAATCAATGAGGCTCCTGCAGATTGGGAATGGTTCTTGTAGGACATTCTGTGCGGCTCCAGCTGAAACTGTTTATGAAGGATCAGTAGAGCTCCTAACTTGTCCTCTGGTGACATGGTGGCTCATTGTTGTGTTTGCTTTTTTATTATATTTTTTCCTTTATTTCTGGTTAATATGTGCTTTTTCTCAGGCTGAGCCCAGAAGCAGCGCAGAGGAACAGCAGCCATCCCTGTCAGAGCACTGCAGGCTCTATTTTGGAGCTCTTCAAAAGGCCATCGCTGGATTCGTGGAGAGCCTTCGAAATAACCAGCCACCAGAGAAGTTCATCTCCCAGAGCAAACTGGTCATCATGGTGGGCCAGAGGCTGGTCAACACTCTGTGCAAGGAGGCCGCCCGTCGAGGCTCCTGCCAAAGCCTCCTGTGTAAGAGCAACCACCTGTGTGCGCTCCTCAAGCAGCTGGCTGTGGCCACCAAGAAGGCGGCCGTGTACTACCCAGACAAACAGGCTCTGCTGGAAGTCCTAGAGTTTGCGAAGGAACTGGCCCAGAGAGCGCAGCATTTCCGTAAATCACTCGCCCTTTAGGCACATGAAAGCAAACATGTCATCCTTTAACTTTTTCTTTTTTCTTTTTCTATGACCTCTGAGCCACAGCTGGTGATATGTGTTGATTAGTAACAAACGCAGGTTTTCAAACGTTTACCATAGATGAGAAGTCGCTTTGGAGGACCTCCTTGCACATTTAAGATGCTGGAACTTTTCCAATTTTAAATGCAATTTTAGAATAGGGTTATAGCTATTCTTTTTATACTTTACTAAACCTTCTGTAAATGTGGTTTATTGCGTTTGAGATTTAATTTTTTTAGGTAAATGTGCCTTCTGTAAATATCTTTGTAAAGTTGCCTTAAAAACTGTTTTTGCCATTTTCTTTATCACGTTTGAGATTTAATTTTTTTAGGTAAAAGTGCCTTCTGTAAATATCTTTGTAAAGTTGCCTTAAAAACAGTTTTTGACATTTTCTAAGCTTGACGTCAAAAATGAAAACAAAAACATTTTTATCTGTATTATAAATAAAAGCTGAAAAAGCTGGTCTGTCTGTTTTTATTTTAGTCCAGTTTGTCTTTAACATCTATCTCAATATGTTTTATTTCGCGTGTCTTTTTATTTCGCAAGTTTGTCAGATCAGTCTTCATAGATCAGTCTTATTAGGGACAAAAACAACTGGAAGAATTAACCAAGATCCATAAGGTCAGCACTGGTGAGCTTGTGGTACCAGTCATACACAGATAGAGAATTACAGCCTACAGCATCGACGAAATGGATGGTGACGCTATCTCCGACTTCCTCGAACTGGAGGACATGAAGGAGGAGGACCCGACCGTCCCGGGTTAACACTCCAGGCCTTCAAGTGGGGCAGAAGTCATCTGCCCGGGGGACAGTGACCTGTACGATGTGTACAGACGGGCGGCTTTAAAGCTGAATATCCCCTGGCCTGCAGTGCAGGATTCAGAAGGAGCAGAACGGGACCTGATTGACGGTAAAAGGCTTCCACCAGCTTCACCACCAGCAAAGCAACTTTTACTGGCCGTTCCTGCTTGAATGAGAGAAATGAGCTTCTGGTCCAGCCCATTTAAGAGCAAGCTTCCCGCCAAGTGCTTCTCTAAGCTGGAGATACAGGGCATGGGTGAGCTGGGGCTGGCCGAACCCTCAGCAGTAGAGTCTTCAGTGGCTTACCACCTCCACCCTAATCGCAGATCGGTTTCAGCATCTCCAAATATCTCGCTCCCAGGTAAAATGGACCGCCTCACAGCCTCCATTTACCAAAGGATGTACAGATATACGGGTCAGTCAGTGTGCTCACTTAAAGTGGTTACACTGCTGTCTGCGTACCAAGGTGAAATCCTGGAGGAGATGGGGCATCAACTGGACTCGGGGACACCTAACCCCAGTCTATGGGATGAGATCTGCGTGGTGAACAATCTCATCTTACGCACCTCTGGTGGTGCTGTTCAAGGTTGTGGTTGTGTCATGGGTCTGGCTGTCTCTGGGGAAAGAGGCCTATGGTTAAACCTGTCAGGCCTGAGTGATTCCCAGAAGGCCGAGATCATGGATGCGGCCTATGACCCGACGATAGGTCTATTTGGTCCCTCCTTGGAGAAGATGAGTCAGATGAGTACCCTTTAGAAAACAGGAGGGAGATGCTTTTAACCTTTATTTGCCTCGCAAGCCCAGCCAAACCCCCCCATTCGGGATTCAGCTCATGTCCTGAAAGACGAAATAGCATCCCTGTTAGAGAAAAAAGCGATCAGAGTAGTACTGGACGAGAAGGTTCGTCAGGGTTTCTACTTTTCTCATTCCAAAGAAAGACAGCGTATCACTACGCCCCATACTGGACCTGCGTATGTTAAACAGACACTTACGCAGATATACATTCAGGATGCTCACACACAAAGCACTGTGCCGCTCCATCCGTCCGGTTGGACCTTTACGACGCCTATTTTCAGATCTCCATTTACCCCCCACACCGAAAGTTTATCAGGTTCGCTTATCAGAGCGCTGCCTACAAGTTTCAGAACATCCCGTTTGGGCTGTCATTAACCCCGTTTGTGTGTGTGTGTGTGGAAGGGTCGTTGTCCCCTCTGAGGACGTGCGAGATACAAATATTTTCTTACATAGACGATTATCTAATCTGTTCTCGATCAAGGGAGCAGGCAGTCAGCTAATCCCTAGCAGTGATGAATCACCTCATCAACCTCGGGTTAAGGATAAATCAAGCTAAAAGTCGCCTGATTCCCGTGCAATGCACGGAGTATTTGGGTCTCAAAATAAACTCCCTCTCTTATCGTATCACATTATCAGAGGGGAGAATCCTGTCATTCACTCAGTGCATGACACGTTTTCAGTTGAGAAACGTTGTTACATTCAGACTGTGCCTGTGGCTCCTCGGTCTTATGGCATCCGTGATTTCAGAGGTCCATCTGGGGCTTCTGATGATGAGGGACTTTCAGCGGTGGGTCACCTCACTGCGACTCTCTTCCCGCCGTCATTTGTGTCGCAGAGTAAAAGTGGTTTCGATCTTTTATCCAAAGGGAACCCTCTCTATGGATAATGGAAGCTGCATCCACAGGTGGTGGAGCAGATCTGGCAGAGATACGGACAGCTGCCGTAGATCTCTTCGCCTCATGGGAAAACGCTCATTGCCTGCTGTTTTTCTCCCTGTCAGACCCATACGCTCCACTGGGTATGGACGCGCTGGTGCACCCATGGCCAGACGTGTTGCTTTATGCTTTCCCTCCTCTCAGCCTGATATCCCCAACTCTAGTCAGAGTGAGGGAACAGGGGCTGTCTTTGATTCTGGTGGCTATCTGGTGGCACTCTGGGCTTTGCCCATGAAAGGTGGAATTTAAATGCAACAGGCCTCCCCCCAGAGGTAATCGACACCATACAGAATGCTAGGGCTCCTTCTACTTGCTATCTTTACAGTGGTAAATGGCAAATGTTTGAGGAATGGTGTGAGGAAAAATAGACCATTCCTTTTCAGTGTTCAGTGGTGGATGTGCTCCGCTTTCTGCAGAGCTTGTAGGAGAAGGGTAAGGCTTTTTCAACAATTAAGGTTTATTTAGCCGCAATCTCTGCTTGTCAGGTAGGGTTTGGTGATAAACCTGTGTGGAAGCACCCCTTAGTGTGTCGTTTCATGAGAGGGGCATGAGGTAAGTTACCAGTTTCTAAGCCTCTGGTGCCATTATGGGATCTCAGTCTGGTGCTGGATGCCCTTTGTCATCATCCCTTTGAACCTTTGGAGGGTGTTGGCTTAAAGTTCCTTTCATTGAAAACTGCCCTGCTTTTAGCGTTGACCACGGCTAAGAGGGTGAGTGAGTTGCATGCACTTTCAGTCAGTCCCGCCTGTTTACAGTGGGCACCCGGGCTCTCTAAGGTGTGCTTGAGACCCAACCCTGCTTTTGTGCTGAAGGTGTTGGAGTCTGCATACAGGTGTTCGATGGTGGAATTGCTGGCATTTCGTCCACCCCCTTTCTCTTCAGCGGAAGAGCAGAAGCTTCATTGCTTATGTCCAGTGAGAGCTTTAAGAGCTTATGTGGACAGGGCAGCCTGTCTCAGAAGAGCTGACCATCTGTATCCTGGGCTACTGCTCATAAGGGCAAACCTGTCTCCCGCCAAAGATTAACACACTGGATTGTGGAGGCCATATCTCTGGCATATAGGTGCCTCTCTCAAGGAGCTGGGTTCTAGAGCCCATGCTACATGTGGAAGTGAGCTTATTTCAAGCCGGTACAACTCTGCCTCCTACACCTGCCTGTGAGGTGATATTCCATGTCCCCATTCGAGCACCTGCAGATCGGGTCACTGAGGCTTTTGCCTCTCACTACTGTGCTGCCATATCCTCTCTTTACCTGTCCCTCATTCCCCCTGCAGGTGGTGGGCCCACTGGTGGATGGGCTTGCGTTTGTCTTTTCGGGCTGGGCCTGGCCTGGTCCCTCGAGGGAGAACCCGACCATCAAGCACTTGCCAAATTACTTTAGACCTGGCTACAGGATGGGAGCGCTGGTTCCACCATATCAGGCAATGGGCTTTTTTGAAGGAGACCTATCAAGATTCCCTGGCTTGTGGGACTCCTAAGGCAGCAAGGAGGTATTGTGAGGTCAAATGTGCCACTGCCTGGGCAGTCGCAGAGGCAAAAACTCAGAACTGTTAGGAGCTTGGAGAGTCCATGGACTATCGGTTGGCCTCAAAGCGATACTGGCAAACTGTCCTGTGTCTCCTTTCCCCTGATGACCAAGAAAGAGGCAATCATTGGACCCTTGATGACCGTGAAAGAGGCATTGGACAGTCAAAGAGATACCTTGAGGATCTCCTCAATCTGGCTGACACACAGATATAGGATTCAGGAGATGCTCAGAGTAGTCGCTTCTTCTCCATATTTGGAGGAGTCAGCTGAGGTGGCTCAGGCAGCTTCTTCAGAGCCCCCTGAACCCTTTCTTCTGAAGTCTTCCAGGCACATCCCTCTGGGAGGAGGCCCTGGGGAATTGCAAATAAATGTTTCCCCCCTCTGGAGAACAAAATGGTGTGAATCGTTTTCAAGTGTTCTTCTTTCTATCATAAGAGAATGCTACCATTGAGCTTCCACACTACAAGTACCTTGGAATCCCACAAGCAAATGGCAACCTCGAAGAGGTAACAAGGAAAGCAGCTCCGGCCAAATACCTCCAACAAGTAAGGCAGGTCCTAAGGAGCCAGCTCAATGGCAAGAATAAGACTCAGGCAATGAATAGCTATGCTCTGCCAGTAATCACATACGAGCCGCAGGTGTGGGCAACCCGCCCCTCTGTCAAAGGCAGTCACCTGCAAGGAGAGAGGAGAGGGAAGAGCCAGCAGAACTGCACCAAGTCCTGACATATGTATATATATATATATATATATATATATATATATATATATATATATATATATATACAAAAAAATTAAAGGAAAACTTTGTAATCAGGTCAGGTAAGTAGCAGAGAGGGTTATTAATCAGTTTCAGCTGCTTTGGTGTTAATGAAATTAATAACAGGTGCACTAGAGTGGCAACAACGAGACAACCATCAAAACAGGAATGGTTTTCCAGGTGTAGGGCCACTGACATTTTTCCCCTCCTCATCTTTTCACTCTTTTTGACCAGTTTTGCATTTGGCTAGGGTCACTGTCACTACTGTTAGCATGAGCGGCTACGTGGACCCGACAGAGGTTGCACAGGCGGTCCAACTCCTCCAGGATGGCACATCAATCAGTGCCCTTGCCAGAAGGTTTGCTGTGTCTCCCAGCACAATCTCAAGAGCATGGAGGAGATTCCAGGAGACAGGCAGTTACTCTAGGAGAGCTGTACAGGGCTGTAAAAGGTCTACAACCCATCAGCAGGACCGCTATCTGCTCCTTGGTGCAAGGAGGAGCAGAAGGAGCACTGCCAGAGCCCTACAAAATGACGTCCAGCAGGCCACTGGTGTGAATGTCTCTGACCAAACAATCACAAACAGACTTCACGAGGGTGGCCTGAGGGCCCCACGTCCTCTAGTGGGTCCTGTGCTCACAGCCCGGCACCATGGAGCTCGATTGGCATTTGCCACAGAACACCAGAATTGGCAAGTACACTGGCACCCTGTGCTTTTCATAGATGAAAGCAGGTTCACCCTGAGCACATGTGACAGATGTGAAAGGGTCTGGAGAAGCTGTGGAGAGCGTTATGCAGCCTGAAACATCGTTCAGCATGACCGGATTGGTGGTGGGTCAGTGATGGTCTGTGATGGTCAGATAATGTTCATTTCCATCAAATGATGTGGCATCCTGTTCCTAACACATCACCCAGTCCATATAAGTATAAATAAACAGCAGGATTTTTTCCCCCATTAAGATCTGATGTGTTTCCAAAGTGTTCCTGTAATTTTTTTGAGCAGTGCCTATATACATAAATAATTATAATATAGGTATAGTTGTATGTATGAATGTATGTCACATAACATGTGACAGTATTAGTGCCATTTGTTGAGCCAGCTGAGCTTCCTGTGGATTTTGTTGAAGTTCTTGCAGAGAAACTTCAGCGGAACTTAAAAGGAACCTCAGAGGAACTTAAGAGAAACTTAAAACAAACCTCAGAGGAACTTAAGAGAAACTTAAAAGGAACCTCAGAGGAACTTAAGAGGAACCTAAGCTAAACTTCAGAGGGACTTAAGAGAAACTTAAAAGGAACCTCAGAGGAACTTAATAGGAACCTCAAAGGAACTTCAGAGGAACCTCAGAGGAACTTAAGAGGAACATCAGATGAATATCAGAGGAACTTAAGAGGGAGGAACCTCAGAGGAACTTAATAGGAACCTCAGAGGAACTTAATAGGAACCTCAGAGGAACTTTAGAGGAACTTAAAAAGAACCTCAGAGGAACTTAAAAGGAACTTCAGAGGAACCTAGGAGGAACTTAAGAGGAACCTCAGAAGAACATCAGAGGAATATCAGAGGAACTTAAGAGGGAGGAACCTCAGAGGAACTTCAGAGTAACCTCAGAGGAACTTAAGAGAAACTTAAAAGGAACCTCAGAGGAACTTAATAGGAACCTCAGAGGAACTTTAGAGGAACTTAAAAAGAACCTCAGAGGAACTTAAAAGGAACCTCATAGGAACTTCAGAGGAACCTCAGAGGAACCTAGGAGGAACTTAAGAGGAACCTTAGAGGAACTTAAAAGGAACCTCACTGGAACTTAAGAGAAACTTAAAGGGAACCTCAAAGGAACTTAAGAGCAACTTCAGAGGAACCTAAGAGGAACTTAAAAGGAACCTCAGAGGACCCTCAGAGGAACTTAAAAGGAACTTCAGAGGAACTTAAAAGCAACCTCGGGGGAACTTCAGAGGAACTTAAAATGGACCTCAGAGAACCTTAGAGGAACTTCAAAATGAATCCTCAGAGGAACTTAAAAGGAACTTAAGAGGAACCTCAGAGTAACCATCCCTGCCCTTGAGACTGATCCTAAAATTCATTCATCAGATTTGAAGTCTCTCTGACGTATGGTCCTGGGCTCCGTGTAACTCCGCTGTGAGCGCGTGCAGGCAGTCAGCAGGGGGCATCCAGTGAGTGGAAATATTCATCAAACTATGCATTAGAGGAGCGAGCATCGCTCCGCAGCAGGCAGCCTCTGCGGGTGGATGGAGCAGGCAGGCAGCCTAGCTTGATCCTGCCCCTGGCTGCTTTTTTTCTGCTCATATTGGATCATATTGTTCCTCCTGCAGCCCCCCCACTCTGGCTGGGAGGGAAGGAACATGGCGACGGTACCAGTCTATTGCATCTGCAGGCTGCCTTACGACGTGACCCAGTTTATGATCGAGTGCGATGCCTGTAAGGACTGGTTCCACGGCAGGTAAGGACTCTCCGCTCTGCTTTTCTGGGGAACAAACCAAAATGGCGAAGCCTGCGTTTGACAGCAGCTTTGTGGCTCCGCTCCATCTGAGCGGAGGCCGCTCGGAGGAGAAGAAGAAGGCGGAGTTAGAGCCCGCCGACCGGGGCTGGGACATTTTAAACAACAAAACACATTCCTGGGACCGACTAATAACTGGGTAATAAAGCAGTTACACTGCGGCTCACATCCTCCGCTCCCCCGGTCTAAACTCTGCCTCCTCCCCGGCCAGAAGCGCTGAGCGGCGGGGAAGCCTCGGCGGAGCCTCCGCTAATCGGGACCTCCTTTCCCCGCCGCTGCCGGACATTTTATCGGCCATGTTGTCGTTGAACGCGGCCGCGCATGAAGCTCTCGGTTCGGTCGCTGTTCAAGCAGAACGGAGACCGAGCCGAGGGGCCCCGGAGCGGAGGGGCCCCGGAGCGGAGCCTTCCTGCCCCGCCATGTTCTCGGAGGCTCCGCCGGTTCCCTCTGCTGGTGTGGCCGCTGTGGAGAGGAGCAGAACCCCCCCCATCAGACGGCATTATTGGCCCCCTGTCCCTGACTGTGACCCCCCGTCCCTGACTGTGGCCCCCAGCCCGTCAGATGGTCGCTTTAAAGCGGCTTTATTGGAGCCAAGCAGCCCTGCGGAGCGGAGGGTTTACGCGCCTGAATGTAAACTCTTCACTGGGTGCCCGTGGGAGGGGGGGCAGGGTGATGCTGGTTCTACCTGCTGTCACGTGGTGAAGGTGAGTTTGGGGCAGCAGCCATGTGTACTTTCCCTCCATCAGCTAGAAAATGAGGCTGACCTGTTTACCTCCATGAAGCATCTAAAGCTGGTTTATGCTCACAGACCAGGCTGTCTGCGTGTGTTAACCCAGACCCCCCCCCCCCCTCCTCTCCAAACCTGTAGGTGAGCGCAGACAGGAGGCCTCTGATTGGTCAGTTCTACATCCTCTCTACACTATGAGTATTTCCTGTTTGGTACCTAATGGCAGAAACTCTGGCTGTAGTGCCGTCCACAGCGCCTGGCACACCTCGGACTCTATCCCACACACCGGCAGGACGCTAGTTTGTAGCTCTGTGCGACGGTCTGTTGGTTTGCGACCGAAACCAAAACACGCAGCGCTACGGCCAGTCTTTGGGGAACACTCATGGTTAAAATGTGTGGCGTCCCGCGTTGGATGAGGAGTTGTAGATGACAAACAAGCTGGTCAAACCGAAACACGGACACCCACAATCCTAGCTAGATCCTGATTGGCCCTCTGGCGTTGTGGCGTGGAATAACAGCGCAGACCATGCTTCAATATTGGGAATAAATCAAAAGTATCTGCGTCATACCTGCGACAAGCTAACTGCGACACACTGGACATGTTTCAGGTTCCTCTAGTTTAGGGGGTGTGAGGTTCCCCTCTGATGACGCTGGACGTCCAGCAGCAGCAGCCGGGTGTGGAAACACCTCTGGAGGCTGCAGGACTCGGCGGGTTGTTCTCCTCTCTGATTGGTTGAACTTTATGTTCTCTCTGATTGGTTCCTTCTTTGTTGTTTCCATCCTCTGATGTAAACTAACTACATCAGAGGAACACTGAGTAGAGTTCCTTTCATAAGCAGGTGGTTTACGGACTGCTGATCAAAATCATATCCAGTCAGCAACATGATGAAGGTGTGACACCACTGTAAATTCAGGGGCCGCATGCTTCCAGGGGCCGAGACCTTCCAGGGGCCGCGCTGAAGGTTGTCCCAAGCTGCCAGTCCTCCTAAAGCCCGGCGTTCCCTGTGCGATTTTCGGGGCAATTTTCCAGTCATGCAACAATCTTTCGATCGGCCAAACTTTCAGCCTGATTGAGCGTCGTGAGTCGTGTAGGGGGCTACGTGCGGCGATCAGCCTCTCACGACCATCACCTGATCAGGAATCGTGAGGAAATCAAATTCCGCCATAGGCAAATCGCTCAGGGTGCAACCAAGGATTCTTCTTTTTATTCTTCCTCTCAGATGTAAACACAGCAGCGTGGCGGAGATGCAATGAGTTAAATGCAGCTCTGTCTGCAAAATTGATGGACCGCAGCAGCCACGTCCTTTTTCCAAATACGTCGTCGCCTTTTCAATTTAGGAATTTCAGCACAAAATTGCGCAAATTGCCAAGGCAGCGCGGTTCACTATAGTAAGCTTCATATCCCCGTTCTATTTGGCTTCAGGATAGATGAGCAGCTCCATCTCACTGCGGAGCTCTGTCCCACCTGCTTTTTAGTCTTAGAGTGTGAGCAGGTAGATCGCATCAGAACGTCGGGCCAAACATAGATCATGAGCTGTGAACTCACACTGTACAACTAAACACTGCGATTAGTCGCACAGTGTGAGCAGCAGATGCGTTCAACGATAGAAAAAAATCACAGTGTACGCCGGGTTTCAGACTCCTTCAAACGCGTCCTCTCTCTGTCCCATCTTTCTACCCCCAAATTAACTTTAATGTAAATATATATATGTAAATATATATATTTACATATTGATATAGTTATATAATGTAGAAAAACATTGTTTTCGTTCCCTTTTGGTAAAAATAATCACAGCACTCTGAATGTCCCGTTTGATTAGCATCATGCGTCCCATTAAAAATAAAAAATAAGACCTGAGGAATCATTCACAGGTTTTATCCTTACCTCTGCCATACAGCGCACTTCGCTCTGGCTTTTTAAGTCTCCTTAGATTTCTTTATTCCTTCGATAGGTAAGAATTCTATTCAGTTTATTTCTATAGCTCCAATTCACATCATGTCATCTCAGGTCACTTTATAGAGACAATTAAACTAGATCATCCAGTCAGATTGATTCAAAGTTTTCTATCTAAGGAAAACCAGCTGATTGCATCGACTCATTGACTGTTCAGCAATCCCTCACACTAAGCATGCTTGTAGCGACAGTGGAGAGGAAAAACTCCCTTTGAACAGGAAGAAACCTCCAGCAGAACCAGGCTCAGTGTGAGCGGCCATCTGCTGAGGCCCACTGGGGTTCAAGGAGACAGAAGCAGACATAGAAAAAGAAGCATAGATACTAAAGGCAACTGTCAACCAGCTCCACAGGCGGCCCCGTCCAGGAAACACACAGCCAGGCAGACGAGCTCCGAGCTAGCTCCCATGTCAGAGGATGAAGAGAGCACATCCAGTTAGTCACAGTCAGAGAAACAGGACTACACTGGAAAACAGGCCAAGCTCCAACATCTAGAAACAAAGGTGTTGATGGCAGCAGCACAGCTGATATTTCTCTCCAGGATGGAGTCACAGCCAAACAGGAACAGACCAGATGAAGCTACTATGAGAAAAAGCAGAGAGAGCAGAACGTTAGAGATTGAACTAACAGATTCTGCAGAGTGGGAGAATAGAGATAGAATGAAGCAGAATGAGGAAAAAGGGGTCCCTATGTCCTCCAGCAGTCTAAGCCTATAGCAGCAGAACTATAGAGATAGCTCTGGATAACCTGAGCCACTCTAACTAGAAGCTTTATCAAAAAGGAAAGTTTTAAGCCTAGCCTTAAAAGTAGACAGGGTGTCTGCCTCACAGACTAAAACTGGTAGTTGGTTCCACAGGAGAGGAGCCTGAGAACTAAAAGATCTGCCTCCCATTCTACTTTTAGAAGTTCTATGAACCACTAGTAAACCTGCAGATTGAGAGCGAAGTGCTCTGTTAGGAACATAAGGAACAATCAGATCTCTGATATCAGATGGAGCTTGGCCATTTAAGGCTTTATATGTGAGAAGGAGGATTTTAAATTCTATTCTGGATTTAACAGGAAGCCAATGTAGGGCAGCTTGCCCCACAGCAGCTGTGGCTGACATGTACCTTATTGTTTGATTCAATGTAGTGTGAAGATTCAGGATCCTTGTGAGTACAGTTATTTTCTGATCTTTGACGCAAAGAGAAAATTATCAGCCTGGATATCTACCCGTGTTTATTCTCTTCTATCAGTGGACATGGCTGCAGCCTTTATGGGTGTTATCCTGCAGACGTAGAACCTTAGCTAAACTCTGAGATGTTTGAAGCCTCAGGCAGGCTGAGGTGTTGCCGTACCATTTTTAGCTGGTGCGTTCGAGACGAACATCGCCTTGCCTGGACTGAGCTGTCTGCAGGTGAACCAGACAGTTAGCATCACGTTAGCATTATGCAGCTTATTAATGGAAGAATTAAATAAATATAACCTCTCCTCTGGAGTCCTATGAACAATATTGATTAAATGTATGTTAGTTTTGTTATGTCTATTAATAATAACTTGGTTGATTTATTGAATTTATTTTTGTTATATGCGGACCTGTAATTAGCAAATCGCTCATTAATAAGGATACATGTTCCCACGCTCAGGTGTTAAATCATCCACCAGGCAGAGCCAGATGCTGCATAGATGTCTTCTTTGTGAATTGTTTTGCATGTGATTGTTTATAAGATCCATCAGTGTTTCATTCATCACAACAAATTCCTGTCATGATTTTATCAAATCCTCTGACCCACATGCAGAGAAACCTTTACAGAGAGACCAGAGAAAAAGTTTAACAGGTTTATTGAGAAGCTGGTGGAGATTCCAGTGTTGCTCTGGACAGTGCTACACCGGAAGTTAAAGGTGAGGGGAAGACACTGCGGTTAGTTCAGGTTCAGTGGGAAAATTGATTCTCGAACTTGAAGAGGAGAAATGGTTTGCAGACTCACGTTTCCAGAAAAGTGGTTGACTCTTTGACTCCAGTCGGTGTGGGGTGTTCCAGGGTTTGTCTCATTCGGTGGAGGGTTTACCCAGAATGCGGTTGTTTGTAGGAGAACGGAGAAACTGACTGCCACTCAGATTTCCTGCGGTACTTGAACGGACTGTGGTGCAGATGAATCCCTTGCTCAGTGTGAAACTCAAACGATCCCTTGGAGGAAAGTGGATCTAGACCTCCAGTTTGGATCCCCAGCTCAGTTTGAAGCTGGAGTCTTAACAACAGCCTCAATCTAAGGAGCCTCATAAGCC